CAGTTATGTTAGATTACTCTGGATGTAGAAAGAAGTGTGGCCTCTCAACTGCTCTGAAGCCACAGCTACACTCCCAGCTTCTACCAGTAACACTGTATCAGTGAGAGATAAAAAAGTGATTGTATTCCTAATAGAGTCATCCAGCTAAATGCATTTATTCAGCAAAATAGCATCTTACCTTGCTCCACAAGCTAGTATAAACTGTCCTCACAATAGCAGTATCTTTCCCCATTATTTGAGGGACACTGGTGTTCCAGTGCCAACATAAAAGAGCACAGCAATCCTGTACAGGATTGCCAATCATTTGACCAAAGGCAGTTACATTTCAGACATTACTTAAATTAAATGTATATAATTTATATTATTAAATTTAAGACTATTAAAAAGTGAGAGCTTAGCTAATTGTCTAGATTTATCTCACAGTGAATGAAGAAAAGCAGATGGCATCACTAACATTACCCTATGGTAAAACAGATGAACCATGTCCCAGAGTAACTCCAGTATAAACATGGACCTTTTAGAGCCATGTGTGTTACACCCCACACATAAACATGGCCTTATTCATTACCAGCACCTCACCCTTGCAACTCAGGTATTATCATATGTACAGGGAACTACAAAACTGGCTCTTTATGTGCAACTTTTTTTTAAATTACACACTAAAAAAGAAGTTGTGAATTTGTAAGAAAAAGTTCAGCATTGGTTTTCTATTTAAATAGAAGAATTACTGACCAGTATGGGGTGATAAAAGTTAACTTAGAAAGGTCACCCACCCCTGGGATACAGGCTCTATTTGAATTAAGCAATGTAATTGCAAGACACACAATCTAATGAATGTATTCCAAAATCAACAGTCAGGCTTGCACAGACAGTAAGGAATATCACTCCATAGCTATAACAAGTGAGGAATTCTTGGTGCAATCAGTGAGAAGAAAAATAACACATCCCATTTACTTCTTTCATTTCAGTATCAAGCAATGTTCCATGTTTCATTTTACCTTTAATCTTCTATTTATGCAGTGATCATTAAAAAAAAAAAAACAACAGACCAACTGAATTTAATGCAGATTGAGATGCACATTACTGACATCTACTGGATAAAGTCATAACTGCCTGTCCCACTCCAACACGATTTTCCCTGTCCTCAAGCAACCGAAGGCCCACAATTTTGGCAGAAAGAGCTGTGATTTTATTCCCTTGGATAAGGTCCAAGTGTCCATAGAAGAGAATATTGTGATAATTAGGAAGTTCCTGCTGCAAGATGGTAATTATCTCACATCTATTGTAAGTTATGCCATTTTACCTAAAGAATTCTATCCAAAACACAGAAAAGGCATTAAACATAGAAGCTGTGAACAGAAGAAAACAAATTAATCCATGCAACACTTTACAACGATTATGACTAATTACCTGAGTTCAGTAACCCACAATAAACACAACATCCCAAACCAGGTGGTCAAGGTAAGACTTGCTACAAAGCAGAATGAACTTGAGGTTATGATCATTAAGAATAAATAAACGATTAATAATTGTTGTTTCATGGTTAATAATTAGCCAGTCATCTCACAATTTGGGCTGGCCTTTCCCTTTCCATAAATAGCGTGTGAATGACCAGGGAGAGCCCTCACTTTCCTGCTAGCATCACTGCCCTAAGCTGCGTTACAGCACCCACGATGGCGTTCAGTGGGACCTGGCAGGTCTACGCTCAAGAGAACTATGAACCATTCCTGAAAGCTCTTGGTAAGTGCCTAGTTCCTCCTGAAATAATTTGCTCGGATTGAAACACACACTTTGCCTTACCTTTTTCATTACTCTATTATATTGTTTGTTTGTTTGCATTGCAAACTACCCTCTGCCAGGTAAGGCTGTCATGTCTAATTCGGAAATTAGAAGAAGTTGAAAATCGTACAAATCGATGTAGAAAGGTTAGAGATAACCCCTAAATCCCTATCTTAACATGAGTCCCTCACGAAGAAGAGGTATATCAGAAATCATCTTGTTTTGATTAACACGTAACTTTATAAATACGTTTATCTAGAAACCAGCCATCAGTGACACGTACAGATTCCCAACGCGCTATTAGCAGTGCAGGCACTTTCTACAGCACTGGTGCTTAACGTATGTGATAGCTGCTTAGTAATCCATAAGGAATAGTCTCATTGGTTATGACGTAATAGGTGCCTACATTAATAAAAACGCACTTACCCTCTTGACGATCTTGACAAAACATTCACATCGGGGTTTTTAAGGGTATATAAGAGATATCCAGTAGAATAAAATTCAGTTACAGCTGAAAAGCCTATTCCTACAGCATGACGCCCGACCCAATCCCTCTACTGCTACAGATGACACTCTCAAATCATACCAGAGACACCCCCACAAGGTAGTTTGGGGGTACTTGCACTGTCGCAGCTCTGACTAGACAGATAACCCCCACCTCCAACGGCCCTGGGAACAAGTGAGGGAAACAAAACAGCACACACACGGTTTTCTTCATGAAGAAGTGTTATCACATGGCAAGTCATTACTGAAAATAAACAACACATGTTCTGACTAACAAATATAGTACCAAAATCTTTACAGACTAGATGGAATGGACCAAGATGTCCATAGAGAAGTGAGGAATTCAAAATAGGATTTATCTTTTAACTTGGACATCACTTTCTATGACTGTTTGTATCTTTTGCACCTTTATTAGAGAAAATAATTTGCTATTTCATATCGACACACTACTTCATAAAAGAAAAAGTCTTTTTTTACCTTTTTTACAGCATTGCCAGATGATCTTATCAAAGCCGCCAAAGACATTAAGCCTGTTGTTGAAATACAGCAAAAAGGAGATGACTTTGTTGTGACATCGAAAACACCCAAGCAATCTGTAACTAACTCGTTTACGCTGGGAAAAGAGGCTGAAATCACTACTATGGATGGCAGAAAGCTAAAGGTAAGACTTTTCAGGAACAATTGCATCTCTTTATTCATCCTCAGACTTCAGTTTCTGAAACTTGTTTGGACCATTTTCACTCCCATGCACTTCTACCATTTCAACAAACAGAAATGCTTCTCCTAAAACTCTTACTAAAATGCTGTGGTCTCCAGTTTAAATTAGCAGATGTGATTATGAAGCATTGTATAATTTATTTCCTATTTATTCGAATTGAATTCCAAAATCTAAAATTTTTTACAATTTTTAAATCTGCTTCAACAGTGTACTGTGAACATGGTAAATGGGAAACTTGTGTGCAAATCCGAAAAATTCTCTCATGAGCAAGAAATTAAAGGAGGCGAAATGGTGGAGGTAAGTGCTAGAAAATAATGGCATATTAAGAAAAATGCTGAAGGAAAAGGTGTTCCATGTTAATTAGCTCTTAGTGTAGGCTCAATACCCTACAAAAATCCTGGCCCCCAAATTACTACATTACTTGCAGAATTCCTTACAGGTGCTTAAATCTGCAGACGGAGAATTTCAGTATTTCAAACTAACCACAGTTAGTGGAAACTATTTATGTTTCTTATTAAATCCAACTGCCTTAGCTGACATTCCTTTAAACATTGCTCATATATTTGATGCATCCTGCTCAACAAATCTTTTGTTAATCACTATGCTGGGGCCAATTCCAGGCACTGAGACGTGAACGGCTTTAGCTGCTGAGCATGTGGCAGAAAGACTCCTTGTAAATTCCTCCCGATTAATAGAGCAGTGTTTCCACCCTTAGCTCCAGCCACAGCACTAGCTTTGAAAGGCAAGTCAAGGCTGAGCCAAACCTGGAAATTTACAATACATCTGTTCCACCTACAAATCTTCAAAGTTCTTTAGTTAGTTCTAAATCGTTCAGTACTGACAAAGAGCTTTTCTCTACAGAGTTGAGCTCATTAGGCTTCTAAGAAGTGTCCACTTGTACAAAGACTACAAGAAGGACAGCTAACTACATTAAAGTTATATGTTTTGCACAGACAACTTCCTAAGATCATTTTGAGTACATCAAACTACTTTTCTAACATTAAGTAAGCAAAACAACAGGCAAAAGAATGCATTGCTACATCAGAGAGTGGATTTCTCTTACAAGAAGCACATCTTTCTTGTAGTATCTAGGATAGCCCTCCAAGCAAAGTGATAAAATGTAGTTGATGAGGGCATTTATGTTTAGATTTTCCATCTTCAGAATTAGTTCTGTAAAAAATCTTTCCTTGATATGAATATTATACACATATTTATAGGCAGGTACTGTAAATGTATTTTCTTATGGAATAAGATGGATTTATAAATGAATTACAGAAACTTCTAGCCACTTAGCTATAAGCAGATTTCCTAAAGTCTAAACAAAGTTTACGCATATTTTTCTTCTACAGAAAATGACTTTTGGTGGAGTGACATTTATCAGAAGAAGCAAGAGAGTTTAAAGACAGATCACCATCTTTGTGACATCTTTACACACCTAAAATAAAGTGGTTTCCACAAGATGTGATCTTTGTTACCTGAGAAAATGGTACAGAAGATAATTATGATTTCTATTCTCCTTTCACACACGCACCACTTCCCGTTATTATAAGATGGTTTTACCTGAGTGCATTTATGGATCCTTTCTGTACTCAAAGTGACAGAAGTCTGCCTCTCAGATACCCAATCCGGACATTAACTGGAACATTACAATTTATCATAGCAATCCTTGGGAGCAGACAAAAGCTGATAGAAATGCTTACTGATTTCTTAAATAATGAACATACTCAGCTTTAGTTCTTTCGTCTAGTAAAGTTCGGTCTTCTACTAAAACCCTTTCTCTATAACCTAGCGAGCAAAGAACAATTACACATTTGTTCAGCTGATCTGCACCACGTGTCTGTAACAGGAATAGAAACAGTAATGTTTTAAAAGCTATGAAGTATTTAACAGTCATAAACAATTGCAAAGTAATAACAGGAATGACTGCTTTTAAACTGAAGTGCACAAGAGTACAATTAAACAAAAATGAGGCACTACAAAAGTAAAGGAATTAAATACTCTTCCAATTTGCAATGTACTCCCAATATCTGCTTGTCATGGCTCGAGTTTGTGAAGCTCAAGTACAACTAGACCATTATGTTCAGATTATGTGTGTCTACTGAAGTATAAATGCCCAGTATGAAGTATAAAATACCCTACTTCACTGTTCACTGCTGATCAGATCCTAGTATTCTATTAGCAGTCCTATTTCATACTTATTTAAGTCACTGTAGATTTGTTAGAATTGGTCTTGGCTGTAAGACCTCCACGAAAAACTTGCTGGACTGATTACACCATTTAAAAACCTCATGGGGAGGTTTTATCCCAGTTAAGAGTGCTGAGTCTACATTTCCAATGCTAGAAGGGTGGTTTGTGAGGGGGAAGCTTGTGTTTTAGTAAATAACATTTGCAACATGACATAAGCAAGCTGGGAAGTGTATTCTTACTCTGGGATAAGACTGTCTTCATGGGGAGTTTTACTGGCATAACCGTGCAATCATTATTGTGCTCATTTTGCTTCCCAGGCAGTTCTAATGCTAAGGAGGCTTTGGCAGACTAAATTAAATTCCATGGGAGTTACACATAAATAAGACCAACAGAACAGAAATCAAGATACTGGTAAAACTCAGGAAGAAGGCTGCTCTAAAGCACCCACACTGCAAAAAGCCATATAAGAGCCTGAAACACTTCTGTTTGGAAGTTGCTGGGTAACTGCTGCTAACTACACAATGAAACACTACAAAACAGAGCACAGTTTTCCAACAGCAAACTCACAGAACACTGCAAGTCTTCAGTGACCCAATGCTGTATCTGTAGTTGTAGGATACAAAATATGAGACACTTCAGTTTCATTTCTATACTAACGCAGAGACCGTTCCTTACTCTGAATGCTACACTTTCACAGCCTGTGTCCTGGTTTGGGCCGGGACAGAGTTAGGGGCCATATTGTGTGCCACAACCAACGCGGGGCCCGAAGGGTTGAGGTAACCTTGTGGTCTGAGTAGATGCAGTGCTTATCACCCACGGGTCTCTT